TCTATTTCTGCCACCTTTGTAACTTTGTGGTAGCAAGTCACTTAATCTTTCTGAAATGCTTTCCTCGTTTGGAAGATGTTATTGTTGAGCCACTTCAGACTCCTTGTGACCCCCTGTTTGGGATTTTTTGGGCAAAGATACTGAAGTGGTTTGCCATTTCCTTCTCCACCTCATTTTACAAATGAAGAACTGAGGAAAACAGGGTTAAGTGACTTGCCCAGAGTTAAGAGCTAGTAAATGTCTGAGAATGAATTTGAACTCAGCTCTTCCTGACTCCAGGCCTGGTACTCTATTTACTGCACCATCTAGCTGCCCTTTGTAAAATAAAGGAGGGTCAAACTCATTCGCTCTAAGTTCCTTTCCAGTTCTTCAGTAAATCCATAGTATTATGATTCTTTGATTACCAAAAACAGAAACATAAAAAACAAACAGAAACACAAAAAAACAATCGAACATCAGCAACCCCATCCTTTCGTCTCTGAAAAAGATTTATGATATTTTAGCCTCAGTATGGTCAATACTTATTCCCTTAGTTTGTGCATCACATTTTTTTTTTGTTTGCAGTAGCTAATAATGTTTCTAAAACAACATGAAATAGAAATAATGATAGTGGACTTCCCTGTTTTATACCTTTTTTCACTAGGAATATTTCTAAATTGCATGTATTTTTCATAGAACTCTAGATCTTGGTTTAAGTTAGATATATTACAGCATATTAAGAAAGAATGGTTTTCATCCTATATTTTTAGTGTTAGCATAAATTGATCCTTCATTTTATTAAAGGACTTTTTTTTTATAGCTATTAGCATACTTAAACAATATGTATTTGCATGTCACGTCCTAATTTCCATTAAGCATATGGGAAGTCAGTTTCTCAGAGCCTCTGTCTTCTCACCCGTAAAATAAATGAAAAGCATGGACTAAATCCTATGACTAGATGATCACTAAAGTCCCTTGTAATGTTACATACTGTGGATATCATGTCTAGTACCAGCAGACCTTGATGACTGACATTAAATTAGCTCCATACCCTTTAAAATTCCACTGACCTCATTTACCTCTCTGTATACTCCCATAACTCCCTTTGACATTAACCACCAACCATCTCTTCTCTGTAGAAAGTGGTTGATTTATTGAACGAAGGAAAAATGTTGTACTACAATAAATTAAATAGTCAGCAGAAATAGGTGTTGCAATCTAGAACAGCCTCCTCATTTAATCATAACTGTGGCCTGAGAAATATAGTAGGTGGTAAATCTAAATCAGCAGATAGAATGAAATAAGTTAGCTTCCAGATGCTATTTGAGCTTTTGAATTATATTGCTTTTTAACTAAAATGTAAATGTCAGGGCTTTCTGGTACCTGGCCATTCCCTAAGCTATATAGTCATGTATACATTTATTGTATACCTCAGCTGGCACTAGGGTTTTCGTACTCTTGCTAAAGAAAAATTCTGTATGAAATCTTTTCTTTGAAACATAAGTACTGCATTCAGGGAAATATTTTAGTCATATCACAAGTATAGAGGTAGGTTCCAATGTTCTTTTCTCTATATAAGGTTTTCTGACCCTAAATATAGGATTCTTTCTGCTGCTTATGAGAGGCATGTATAAGGGAATCAAAAAAGGAATAAGCATTTATATAGGACTTGTCATGTGCCAGGCACTGTGCTAAGCATTTTACAAATACTGTCTCAATTGATCCTCACAATAACGCTGAGAGATAGGTATGTTATTTTTTCACTTTATAGTTGAGGAAACAGGCAAATAGAGGTTAAGTGACTTGCTCAGGGTCACATAACTAGTAAATATCTGAGAGTAGATTTGAACTTAGGTCTTGCTAACTCCAGGCACAGAACTCTATTGCCTGTACCACTAGCTGCCAAAAAAATCTAACAATACAGGAACCCCCAAACTCCTACTGCCTTAGGTCTTTAGATTGCACTTAGCATTATTTTTATATCCAATTAGGTCTGATAGGTTTTTGTTTGTTTGTTTTGTTTTATTTTTGTTTTTTGGCCTGATTGCTTTTAAATTCCGTAAGGGTAGGGATCCTATCTATATAATCTTCTTTTATTCTGTTCCCTGTATATAATATCAGGTTCATAGTTGCTCATAAAATGCTTACTAGTTAATTGCCAAGTTAAGGGGTTAATAACAAATAGTGAAATCTTGTTTTTCCTTTCCTAACATTTATTTTTGTATGTAGGGCTTTAGCTCCATAACCTTGAGAATTATGGATGTGGGAATTTCAGACTGAGCGATTCCAGGAGAGTGAAGAGGAACGGGATGGAAGTAGGAGAGGGATGTTTTTAGGATGATAGTCATGAAGATGGAAAGACATAAGCTAAAGGTCTAGACTACTAGTCCCAACCCTTTATTTTACCTAGGAGGAAACAGTTTCACATAAAGATTAGCTAAGTAGGAAGTGGCAAAAATAGGAGTCTAACCTGGCTCCTCTGATTCAAAACCTGTTTGTTATTGTTGTTGTTGTTATTGTTTTGTTTTCCATTCCATCCTTCTGCCTCCTACTAGATACAGAAGTCTAGACTATACTGCCTATGTACAAGCAGGCCTGAGTGGATTATCCATTTACTATGTACAAGCAGGCCTGAGTAGATTATCCATTTATCAGCTGGGAGTATAAATGTGTAATACAAGTAAACCTGCATAATGAAATAATTGAAATAATTAAACTGAACTCCAATATTTGCTTTTGTCTTGTAGCCTTAGTTTTAGTCATATAAGAATAGGGACTGACCCTATGATTTCATTTTGTAGAGGGAACTCCAGGTGAAGAAATCCCTTCTAACAATGCATGATAGCACCATCTCTGCAACTCAGTCTTAGACAACTGCCTAGAGAATTGAGAATTTTAGTGACTTGCCTGGGGTTACAGAGTCAGTATTTGTCCGAAGTGGTTCTAGTACCTAGATCTTCCTGGCTTCAAGGCCAGCTCTCTATTTATTGAGCTAAATTAACTTTTTCTGTTAATTAACATATGTACTGTGGAACCCCAATTTAAGAACAGTTTGTTCTAAGAAAGAGACAAACATATTAGGGTGTGTGTGTCCACATTTTTATTTCTCTCAAGTTGGCTTGGCATGCATTGGATGGGAGTTACAGTCCAGAGCTAGCCCCCTCCACCCTCCACTCTCCCAAGAGGGCTAGTCCATAACTGGCTCGATTTGGGATTCGGGGGTACAGGGTTATGTGACCTTCGAAGAGTAAGTACTCCCAAGTGGTGCCAATCAACTCTCACTCACAAAGATCAACACACTGGGAGGTGGACTATATTAAAATGAAATCTTGAGTAACTGATTTAGGTCACTTAATCTTGATACAATACCTTTTCAGCCGGGGCTGGTTTCATCCCACCACCATTCTCTATCAGACCACCCAGCTTCTAGACCAAGCCACTCCCAGTCTTGGTCTATCTAGGCAGAAGAATCTGTCTCCACTCAAACCTGAGCAGATTAAACCAATTCCGGCCTAGGTTGGAGTTTGACCAGATAAGATTCAATGCAATCTTATTTTCAGTAATGTCCTTCTGAAGAACTTTTCAGAAAGGAGCTGGGGCTCTGAGTCTCTAAGACACCTATTACCAAGAAAAATCATTTCTCACAATACATATGTATATGTACATATACACACACAATATTCATTTATATACACATATATAATATTCATTTTTATTTGAATTTCTGTGTTGTTTTCATTGGTGTAATGAACTTTTAGGAAGGGAACTTCTTCTCTAAATGCAAATGATCAACTCTTCAGCACCTGATATTTATACCCAGTATATATATTATCAGAGGCCAAAAAGGGAAATGTGTCAATATAGTTATTACTACAAGTTCTGAATGACTTTCAGGGTAGGAGATATTCTAGGAATCTTAATTTCTGGAATCACTCTTTCCTGTGCCTTGCCATAGACATTATTAAATTCATTAAAAAACAAACAAAAAACCAAACAACAGTATCAACAACAACAAAAAACCTCTTGAGTATGTTCATAAATCAGTTTGCTGCTCCTGGATAAACCTGACTTCAGTATCAACTTCCACATCAGAATAAGTCTCCTGAATCCACTCTGGTTATCTTTCTTCCCTATAGAGGCCTTAAAAATCTTGAAATTTAACAAGTTCTGCTAGAAACATCCAAGAGGAAGCATGGCATAATTTCTAAAAGTAATTGTGTTAAAATCAGAAGAACTGGGTTTGAGTCCTGTCACAATTGGTAGTTTGGTTCATCTACATAAACTATTTCACTTCTGAGGATCTCAGTTCCCATATCTGTGAAATGGGGATAATTATATCTGTTAGCTACCTCATGTGGTGATTGTGAGCAAAGTACTTTATAAAACATAAAACTTAGATAAATAATAGCTAATATTTATATAGCACCTAATGCTAAGTCTTTAGGCACTGTGCTAAGTACTTTACAAATATTATTTCATATGATCATTACAACAACCCTGGGAGGTAGGTGCTATCATTATAATCTCCATTTTATAGTTGAGGAAACTGAAGCAAACAGACATTAAGTGACTTTCCCAGGATCATACAGATAATATCTGAATCCCGAACTGAACTTACATCTTACTGACTTCAAGCCCAGCCTTATCTCTACTGTGCCACCTAGTTATTACCAGCTACAGCAAGGGAAAGCCTGCATTGCCTATTGTACTATATATGTTTACATGTTCTCATGTTCTTACGGAACAAAGAATTATTGAGTTATATTATGATATGTTATTTGCAAGGGTTAAGTGAGGAAAGAAAGAAAGAAAAAAAGAAGAAAGGCTACATTTTAACTAGAGAAACAAGGAGAAGTCTAAGTCCTCCCCTACCTCCCTTTGGGATTATCTCTTTAAGTAAGGTCTATTAAAATGTAACAAACCAATAGCCTAACCCACTGTCTCTCATTCCTAGACCATGTATATAAACTTTAGCCTTTTAATATTTCTAACTCTGAACTTTTCTTCCAATTTCTCCTCAGCAATCGTGGTTCTCTTCATCACTCTCAGACGCAGCAAGAAAGAGCCCTTGATCATTTCAGAGGAGGACGTGCGGGAAAATGTTGTCACTTATGATGATGAAGGGGGTGGGGAGGAAGATACCGAAGCCTTTGACATCACAGCCCTGAGGAACCCATCGGCTGCTGAGGAGCTGAAATATAGAAGAGATGTTCGACCTGAAGTGATGCTTACACCCCGACACCAGCCTTCGTCCGCTCTTGAGAGTATAGATGTTCAGGAATTTATTAAACAAAGACTGGCAGAGGCAGACCTTGACCCCAGTGTCCCTCCCTATGACTCTCTACAGACATATGCATATGAGGGCCATAGATCTGAAGATGGGTCTATCAGCTCCCTGGATTCAGCAACTACACACTCAGACCAGGATTATAATTATCTTGGTGACTGGGGACCAGAGTTTAAAAAGTTAGCTGAACTCTATGGAGAATTAGAATCGGAAAGAACAAGTTAGGGATGAGCACTCTTGGAATTTGCTTCCTGGGCAACTGGATATATAAGCGCAAGTAATGGCAATGATAAGGGATGGCAATAGTGCTGGGAACTGAGCAAGCCTGCACACAGTCACTGTAGAAACAAGTGCCCTTTTCATGTGTGAAATTGGGTTCTTTGATTGGAAGAAAGTCAAAATTTGAAAATACAGAGAAAAAAAGAAGCTATTGTTCCTTGTGTATATTTTTTAAATGCTTAATAAAGTTCTGTGGTACCGTTTCATTAACAATACCCTAATAAGCCAAACAATGATATATTATTGCAACATTTTTTCCCCTAAATCTTATTTGGAGGCAGATGAATGCAAACATTCCCAATAACTAAAGTGTAATGTTTGTAGAGATGGTACCTTGGAGTGTTCATCTAAATGGAGGTGAGCATTGTATTTCCAGTTTCTCTGGAATGACTTGGGAAAGCCCAGACTGAGACTTTAGCCCGCACTCTGCTGAAATGGCAGACCTCTTCATTCTTGTCCCACCTGGGCTTTCAATTAAATTGAGTGAAATTTTTCTGAAACACCAGGCTTGCCTGATGTGGACCTGTATGCCTAGTTCCTTTTTGCCCTCCCCTCTTCTTCTCTCCATAAGAAAATGATGGAGCATGGGGATTTGCTGCCTGTACTGTTATGTATGCAACTTCTGAGCACCAAATGTGCACTGTTGCTGAGGGCAGAGACTGTTGTCTCTGTTGCCTTTTTTCTTCTTTCTTTCTTTCTTTTTTTTAACTGGAGAGTTTCTCTTTTCTCCTAGGTAGAATGAATGATTTAAAAGTTATTGTATACTCAGTGAAGCTGAAGAGGCATGGGCAGAAGAAAAACCACAACAGAAGGAAATATTAACCTCTGCAACTGTTTAAGTAACTCTTTTCCTGGATTCAGTGATTAGTAACCAATTCTATGCTGCACACTGTAATGAGAATCAAACATCATAAAAATGTTTCTATTTCAGACTAATAAGTTTACTGGTAAGGAAAATATGATCAGTATGAATGAAGAATATTGGCTGTGGGCCTCATGTTTGTTAGCTAGTTAGCATTTTATAAAAGAAAACGCTAATTTCTGCAATAAAAGAGGAAAAAATTCCAAATGGCAAAGTTGATATTAGTTGGACCCAACTCTATTTGGCAGTCACTCATATCTTTGTTGTTTCTGTACTCTCCTCATCCCTGTGGTGCCTTCTCTTATTCTAATTCCTTCCCTGTCCTTTCCCTTCCTGTTTTTTATTTCTTTTCATTTTCAAGTATCATAAGCTTACTAAAACCAAGAAGAGGAAATAAACATAGAAAGGAATTCTATCTTTATGGATCATGTAAAGATCATTCAAATTCATATAGATGATTAAATTATTATATCTGCAAAATTCATAAAGATAGTTAATAAGGTAAAAGTGACAAATGGGTCTTCATAATATTTAGTAATTAGTTATCAGAGTTTTCTGGAGTTAGAAGGGACCTGAAAGGATGAAGACTAAATAGCCTCTAATTTCCCTTCCAACTATAGGTTAGGGGTCTGGTCAAAAGAGATAATGACTAATAATACCAGTTTCTCCCCTCCTCTTGATCTGTCTCATGATTTATATTCCATGTAATTTTGTTCAGACAAATATAAGATAAATTAATTTTTTGAGGGGAGAAGAGAAGAGATTTAAATAATAATGATATAAATTGTGAGATTAAAACAACAAAGATACAGTTTCAGTCGGAGGCTTGATAACTTCTAAGGTCCTTTTCAGATCCAGAATGTTCTGATTTTTAATTTTGGAAGAGTATGAAATTTGATTTGTCACTTGGCCAAACTACACCATATTTTGGAATTTATTGGATCAAATTATGTTCTGTCCTATATTCTCTTGCTCCCCGTCAAGCCTTTAGATATGAAGAACCACCAATCATGACAAAGATGCATGACCCATAGTAACAATATACAACACCAAAAATATTAACAGACAATGAATATATTTTCTGATGGCTATCCTTACATATTAGAAGCTCCTCATTAGAACTATTGAAATATTTTGCTAAGCCAATATTTTGATTAATTAATTATTCAGGCTTTGCAAAATCACCCTGGCAAATTCTATACACACAGACACAAACACACAGACACACAGACACACACCCCACCACCATTATCACCACCCTACAAACCCCCACTCCCAACCCCAGTCCTCCCCTCCTCCCATCTGTAAGCAAATCTGTGGTATGTTGGAAAAAGCCTTGGTCTTGGAGTTAAAAGACCTGGGCTCTACTCTCAACTTTGTTACTTATGAGTCATGTGGCCTTGGGCAAGTCACTTAAACTCTTTGAGCCTCAGTTCCCTCATCTGCAAAATGGGGATAATAATACCTACTCTGCCTACCTCACAGGGTTGTTGTGAGGATCAAATAACACATGAAAGTGCTTTGTATATTGTAAAGCACTATTAAAACGTAAGGTATTATTATGTTTATATTCTATCAGAACAGCTGTCAACTTCTGATTGGCCCATGATGCTTTGACATACACACACACACACACACACACACTCATGCATATAAATAAGACTTTATATTTTTAACATAAAATATATATTATTCATGGGACAACATCATGGAGCAATCAGGAGTGGGGAGCTGTTGTTAACTAAATATATATAATAGAGTATGACATTTCAGCCTTCTACGTAAGGTGACTTTTCTTTTGAACTCCTTGTATTTTCTCCAGATTGTTTCAAAGCCTTGTTGGCATGGACTATCAGTATATAATCTTTGGAAATGAGGAAAGCTAAGTATTTCAGAACAGTTGGAGAAATCCTTGTATATCCACCAAATAATCATAAGTTATAGAGGGAGTATTTTTCCCCTTTGCTATTTTTATGGACCACAATTAAGTACCCCAATAAAACAACAAACATCAATCAGCTTTCTGATTCTACCCTTGTATGAACTATTGGACTTAGCATTTTTTTTAAACTACCCTGTGCTATTACATATTAAAATTTTGAGTTTTGGAAAGTAGGTAAGCTTAATTTGAATAATTCTCTATTTGTGTTTCAAGACTGAGGAATAAAATGTAATTTAGCTTTTCGCGCTGTCTTAGCTCTCCAGGTGTTGCTTTATCATTATTTGCAACATACGGTTGTGTTTTACTGTGTAAAGCTCACTCAAACAAGAAATACAATGACTTTGGGGGAACAGTCTAATAGTGCACATGCTCTGATTATGCTAATGTCGATTTTTACACACACCTTGACAAGAAGAAAGCCCCTTTGGGAATGACTCTTTATATTCACGTTATAATCCTTCACATATGCCCAGAAACTGGAATGCCAAACTTTGAAAGCCTATGCTGAATTAAGATCATTCAGAGTTTTGTTTTATTTTTTGAACTAGTCACACACTCTCAAATATTAGGGATTTGGGGTCAAGGAGTAGCACATGTGCTCTGCCCACAAACATATGGATCTATTTTCTTCCTCACAGATGACTTGAACACTGTCATGGTTTCATAGGCCAAAACAAATATTTCTGGGTTAGTGTTATACCCCTATTTTGTTTTAAGAAAAGTTTATAAGACTGATGGTTTCTGAGCCGTTGACATTAAAATGATATTTTGAGAGGAAATGAAATTTCCATCATCATGAACCATTATAATCTGTTGATTACATGAATGGAAATATTAAAAAATAACATAGTTGTAACCAATGAATCCCTTTCCCCAAGACATTTACCTAAGAATTCCTTAATACCCGGGTATTTTACATTATATCTTATACATTAGGAAAACACTAATATTCCTTGCTTTGCAGAGTTCTAACATATTTTAACAAGATGATAATTAACTGATATGTATAAATATAAATTTTCCTGAGTTGTTATTCATGGAAAAAAAGTCAGAAAATAGATTAATGAGACATGTTTTCATGTGACCCATGGATATAAACACTAAGCTTGAGGCAAAGATTGATACTTATGTGGGTCCATCTAAGCACTGTTTCAATGCTGAAGTTTGACATTTGTGGGTCTAAATGAAATATTTCTTTGTCATCAATTTACTTTTATCCTAAACATAAACTGTCCTCTGATTACATAATAAAAATATATTGTCTGCAAAGTCCTGCTGAAGATGGCACCTCCTGAATGAAAAAAGATTTTATCCAGATTTTTTTTAACACCAAACATTTTTTCCTATAGAAATTTAATTGAAATCAAGCAGATCTTAAACAAGTACTGGAGAAAACAATTCAGGCCTTGTGCTTCACTACTTGCCTTGGTATGTGAATTTAAGGGGAGAATGTTACTTAATAGGATACCATTTCCAAGGTTGATTTAGGGTTTCTCCAGTCATCTGGGTTATTAAGATAGACTTTGTGAGGTAAATTATACATAATCATACAAAGAAGCTGTATCATTTTGACAACTACAGAATACTTTGAAGGTGAAGAAAAAGTTGAATTAGTGCTTTACTGGTTTAAGATAAAAATGAAAGATTAAACCATGTAAACGTGACCAACTCATTTAACATCATCAAGTTAACATAAAGCATGAAAGAGATACTACCTGTCTCTTTTCCTACTGATGAGCATAATAAAAAATGACTTAGCAGGAGGAAGGATGCTCCAAACTCTTTGTGGGCATTTGGCATTTTCTGACCTTCTGTCCTTGGTTCTTTTGTCTTTCTGTACTACTTACCTTGATAAGATCTTTCTACCACACCTCTATAAAGCTGCCTTCCAGATCTCAGTCTTTAGCGCTGACCTTTCTTCTGAGCTACAGAATTAAATCTTCAGCTGTCATAGGATATTTGCACATGAATATTCCATTGGTTGATCAAACTTCACAAATATAAACCTATGATTATTTTTCTTACTCTGAAACTTGATCCTCCTTCTGACTTTTTGTTTTTACTTATGGCCATTGAGCATCCCCTCCCTCCCCAACCGGTTTTTAAATGTTGAAAGGAAAAAAAAATAAGAATGGATTAAGTACCTTCTTTGTGTTAAGCACAAAGTGCTTTACCAATATTGTCTCTAGATTCTCAAAACAAGCCTGGAAGTTAGGTGTTATATTATGGTCCCATTTTTACAGTTGAGAAAACAGAGGTTAAGTGACATTGTCCAAGGCCACACAGCTAGTAAGTATCTAAGAAAGGATTTGAACTCAAGTTTTCTTAACTCTAGGGACAGAACTTTATCCTCTGCACCACCTCTGTTGGCCCTGCCTTTGATTCTTCTCTCTTCTTTACCTCTCATACCCACACCTCTCACACCAAGTCCTCTAAGTTGCACCCCAACAATATGTTTTTGCCTCCATTCCCTTCTTTCTAATCCAGGGGTTTTTAATCAGGGGCCTACAGACAACTTCAGAGCCCAATGATAGATTTTAAAGTGTGTGTGGACAGGGAGGAGTCTGTGAATTTGTTTTAAAAAATCAAGAACTATTTTAATATAATTGTTTTCCTTTGAAATCTTATTAATTTTATGCATTTAAAGTATTTTGAAAAGACATTCATAAAAAAAGGTTAAGAACTTCTATTCTAGTCCCATTTGTGCTTAGTATAGACCTTCATTAATAGCTACCTAGAAAACAAACAAAAACTCCCTAGTAATTAGAGCCATCTAAAAGAGGAAAGAACTGAACAAAGAAGTTCCCGCTTGGCAAAAGTCTCCAAGGAAAGGCTAGTCGATGATTTGTTGCATATTTTGTAAAGGAGATTTTTGTCCAAGCGTGGATTGTTGAGGTTGATCATCCCTTCCAACTCTGATATTTTGTAATTTGGATTAATACTCTCTTTGCCCCTCAATTGATTAGTGTCTGGAAATAATGAACGAGTATGTCAATGCCAATGCTGTACAACCTGAACACATTTTGGTTTCCCTTACATATAATTGAGGAATGTGTGAGGAATGTGCATAGAGTGAATGCTAAGTATTTAGACTTAACCTCCCAAATGCTTTGAAATCTTGTTCAGAACCCAGGGAAACATTATAACTGAAATAGTTCCAGCACAAAGAAGAGGTTGCACATTACAAAATTCATTTGCTCTTGAAAATACCTTTCATGGTGCTTTTAGAAAGACTTCCCCAAATCCCTTGTCTAGAATATAGCTTTTGGTAGCCCCTTTTACACACAGACTAAAAGCATAGGGGAAATCTACTGAGGAATGGAGACATCTTTAGCCTTTCCCAGAGGAACCCTATTTGGCCTGTTTCTACAGGAAGATTGGTTACTTTGGACCTGACTTTGAGCAGTTCAGTATATTTCTACTCCATTTAGTGGAGACACCCACCCAAGGTAGTCTTTAGCAATTCACTAGACCCACCACTGATTGCCCTGGAAACAGTGCTGAAGAGACACTGCTGTTCGAAGTTGAAATTGATGTCAGGTGGAAGATGCTTTTAGACCCCTTAGTGGGTTAATCACATTTAGTTAAGTTTACTTGGCTTTCATTTTCCAGAATAGAGCAAATCACAGAGCTACCCCTTGATGTAATGGAGTTGAAAACATAAGCTATTTTATATCCTTTAAGATCAAATGCAAACTAATAAGGAAGCATAAAATAAAGAAAAATGGTCTCCTGCAGAAGTTAAATTCTTTCATACTTAGAACTTTATATATCTCTTGTTCAAAAATAGCCTAATGCATTTGAAAGACAATAATTAAGACTGGCCCTGAAAGAATGGGATTATTCTTTCTTTTTCCCTTGTACCTCCAAGTAGCTATTCCCCCCCCCCAAATGAATATGTTAAAAAGGGTATTCATTAACATGAAATTGGGGATGCCTATGCCATGTGGCAATGTTACTATTCAATATTGTTAAATTTTACTTTAATAAATGAAGGGGTGAGGAAGAAAACATTTTTAATAGAAGTATTATTTAAAAAACTAAAAGGGTGCTTCACTGGATGATGGAGTACTATATTCATTCATTTTGCCATGTTTACTGACATGAAAAATCTTTGCTGTATGCACAAAAAAATATCAAACCCTATTTTAGGATAAAAAAAAAACTTCACAAAAGTGAACAAAATGTTGATATGCAAGAACTTCTGAAGCTGTCATCTCCAATGCATATGTTGCTTTTGCTCAGCTTTGAATAGGTATGGATATCTCAGCTGTCAAAGAAGACTTTTATTCTGCTACCAGCAGCATCAGTCAGAAGAGAATGGGCTGTGGTTATAGCAATTGATGTGAGTAACTTGACCACAGCAACTTCCCCTTGACTCAGAATTTACCCATTTTGTCTCCCACTGCCGCCTCTAGAATCAGTAAAGGAACATTAGGATTGCCTGGGTCATAAAAAGGAAACCTCTATAAAAGATGAGCATTGGGAAATATAATGGAAACAAGGCCTAAAAGAAGTTTATAAAGTGGGAGGTATCGCTCTTTATCAGGATTTGAGGTGCAGAAAAAGAGTCAAAGTCGAACTATAAATTCAATTCTGCTTGTGGGATTGCAAGCATTTTGTTATTTTTCTCATCTGTAAGGACGTAACTGCCAAGTAGTGCAAAGGAGCCATAATAAGGTAAATAGGCCTCATGAAAATGATTGCAACAGCAACCTGGATCTTAATAGAATTCACTCCAAAACATATTTATTAAGCACCTACTAGGTGCAAACTGTGCAAACACAAGAAATGATCCCTTGCCCTCAAGGACCTTACATTCTCCTGGGATGGAAACTTTTCTTCGTGGATAAATTGATAACTGAAAGTGCATACAAATATATCTGTAAGCACTAAATCTTGTCACACCAAAGCCTGGTTAGACAATCAGCTTTTCTTTCCTACAATCTAGTAATATCATACAATGTTAGTTCAATGACATCAGTATATCCACTTTAGCCATTGCATAATATAATTTACCATTAAGATTCATTGGGAAAATATTTTTGAATGAAGACTCACTGCTTTCATGGCTGGAATGACTGATCAAGCGAGACAAATGTGTGTATGTGTGTGTGTGTGTGTGTGTGTGTGTGTGTGTGTGTGTGTGTGTATGTGCTTAATCCCTGTGGTAGTATGCTTCTGCTTCCCTCAGTTGCTTTTCTCCATCTCTTTTTCCTTCCTTTCTTTCTCCTTCTCTTCATCCCTCTCTCATTCTCTTTTTCTTGCCCTCCTCTACCCACCCCACTTTGATAATTTTAGGAAAGCAATTAGAAATGTCATATAACATCAATTCATCTATCTCATGGATCTGCAGAC